TACATTTACTGTAGTTAGCTTATACCATGCTAAGCATATTTGGACTGCAGGCAGGCAAAGACAAGAGGCAAAGTTTGAATGTTCTTCTGTATTAACTAAATCCTGGCATCCCAATTTTGTTGGATAGAATGTGAACTAAAATTTCAGTGTCATAGAGTTTAAGGCCAGAAGGGACCACCAGATCATCTAATCTGACCTCCTGTATATCACAGGCTACTAAATACCACCAGCACAAAAGCGCTAAACTCATCAGCTGAAATTAGACCAAAGTATTACAGCCTTCTGGAGACTATTGTCTGCCACAGGCAGAGAGGGAGAGACTGAGATGTACCAATGCCTGAGGACCCTGCACTGGAGGCACTGATTTCATGAGATGTATCCAGATGATACTAGCAAGTGATCTATGCCCCATGTCATGAAAAGGAAGGTGGAAAAACCCCAAGATACCTGCCAATCTGACATGGGGGAAAATTCCTTCTGGATCCCAAATATGGTGATCATGATCAGTTAGATCCCAAGCACATGAGCAAGACACACCAGCCAAGCATCTGAGAAAGAGAATACTCAGTGCCACCTCAGAGCACCAGGCCACCCTGTCCAGTGTCCCATCCCGCTGTGGCCATCTCTAAAGCTTCAGAGAAAGAAGACCAAAAAAAAAAAAAAGTCAGAACACCTCCGGGGTTCCCTTCCTGAACCCTACAGGTGATGGGCTGAAGCCCTGAAGCATGAGATTTTAGGAACATAAAACATGAACCAGAAAGAACTCCCAGGGCCAGCCCAGCCCTCTACCACTGTAGGAAAATCCATCATACCAGCAGTTCCCAAACTTGTTCCGCCGCTTGTGCAGGGAAAGCCCCTGCCAGGCCGGGCTGGTTTGTTTACCTGCCGTGTCCGCAGGTTCGGCCAATCGCTGCTCCAGGCCAATGGGAGTTGCTGGAAGCGGCATGCGCCAAGGGACGTACTGGCCACCACATCTAGCAGCTCCCATTGGCCTGGAGCAGCGAACCGCGGCCACTGGGAGCTGCGATCGGCCGAACCTGCAGACACAGCAGGTAAACAAACCAGCCCGGCCCACCAGGGGCTTTCCGTGCACAAGCGGCAGAACAAGTTTGGGAACCACTGCATCATACAATCCCTCATAAATTTATCAAGCTCTATTTTAAGATTAATTAAATCATTTCCATCCTACCCGTCATCACAATCAGTTGTTCTTGTGCCAGCATAGTTGTTTAGTTTAAATAGTAGTTCTTTCTCCATGGTATTTACCCCTCCTCCCACACCCTGTATGTGTTTATAGAGAGCAATCATATCTCCTCTCAGCCTTTGTTTTGCTAAGTTAAACAAACCAAGTTGTTTTAGTCTCCGCTGGTAATCAGGCTCTCCATTCCCCTGATCATCCTGCACGTGTTTCAGTTTAAATTCCTCTTTGCTGAACATGGATAACCAGAACTGTACACAATATTCCAAATTAGGTCTTATCAGTGCCTTGTACTGTGGGACTAGCATTTCCCTATCTCTACGGGAAATATCTTGCTTTCTGCATCCTAGGATTGCATTTCCTTTTTCACAACCATATCACATTGGTGGCTCATAGTCATCTTGTCATCAACTAACACACCTAGGTCTCTCCTCTCCTCTTTCATTTTCAACTGACGAGTCCACAGCTTCGAGCAGAAATGTTTTCATTGTGCTTTTTATACACACATGCAATTTATTCATTTCCAATTTTTGTGATAGTACTGTTATACACTTAGTTATATGTTCTCCTGTCTTTATACCACTCTATACATATTTGATAAAATCAAACTTTTTTTATTTTAAATAGGAAAACAGCTTAAACTTTAGGACATTGGCATTTGCAAAACACTCACTCATTGAACGATTAGGCAAGTGCATGGCTAGGTAATCTTTTAGAGATTGTGTAAAAGTTACTTTGTCATGGGATTGCTTTCTGTATTTTAACGTTCAGGTCTCTTTCTCTTTCCCTGTCTGTAGAATCATCTAGAATTAAGTCATGCTAAATTCAAGACTGTGAACTCTTGAATTCTAAAAATGCCACTCAATACAACTAGCTTCTCCCCTTTCCTCCCTCCTCACGTTTAGGTTCATCGCAATTTGTTCTCTTTGCTTTGACTATATCTTTCAATCCCCTTTCTCTCCAAAGAATAGCGAGTTATTTCTTACTTGTTTCAATGTATCTTTATGGCATTTATTCTCAATATTCACTGCCTTAGTATACGTGCACAAATTCTATTTTTTCTAATATTGTGAGACCTTTACCTGTTAACTGCAGGTGGTAGGTGAACAGTTCCTTTGGCTCAGCTTCATCCAGTCTCTTTCTGCTTCCACAGACTCTTGAATGATCATACAGTCTTCTTACTGAGAAGCTGCACATAATGACTTCAACTTCCCTCAGCAGATATTTTTGATGCCCGGCATCCTTGCTTCATGTTGAGCCCTCTCCGGTAATGGAGACAAAACCTTAACTGTAGCTTCAGAAATAACACACATCACCACCACTGCCCTCTTTCCAGATTTTATTTTTACCAGGGAGTAAATTAATCTATTTTAGCAGCAGATTGCCTGGCAAAGAAAAGGAACTGAATAAAATGAAGTTTAACATTCTCTTCCAAGGGACTTTGGGAGCCCCCCAACGATAGTGATGCATTGAGCAGTAGGGTCTCTCAAAAGCCTGACAGTAGAAATAAAAAATTAAAAAAAAAATTAACTTCAATAATTTTACGAGAAAAACATACAGTACAATATTCAAGACATTTCAGTACAGTAAAATTTATATTCAGTAGGGCTCGCTATTTCCTCTTTAACACCTGCAGGACTACCTGGTCAGGAGGCGGATGCTTAGTCTACAGGCAAATTCCATTCACATTTTTGAAATGGAGCATGTAATGACCAAGAATATGAATATGTCCAAGTAATTTAATTTTTCCATCCTATATAAAATTACTTTGTTACAATTCGTCTTCATGGTCACCATTTTACGTACCTGAAAATATGGCCCAGGAAGAAGCATCACATAACTATCAAAACAAATGGAAAAGAAATAAGTTTTTGACCCTGTGATACCAAGGCTGCATGTTTGGGTTCCTAACTGTGGGAGATTTCTTCATGAATTATGTTCATCCAAAGCTACCCCTCTCGCTACACTCCTGATATCGGCATGCTCTCTGGCCTCTCGTCACAGGATATGATGACTACGTAAACACAAACAATACGGTCATCAGCTTTAATGCACGCAGACAGAAGAAGAGGTAGAACTAAGGGACTTCTGATAACAGTGATAGGAATGCCAGATTACATAGGTTAGTTGTGTGCACATTTAGATTGTATCTGGTCATGCCATTAAAATATTCATATAAAATATAAATAACATATCTGTAATCTCTATTGGCCCTCTGCCTAGCCATTATTAGTTGAAAGTCCCTGTAGTCAGGTAGAAGTGAATATTGACAAGGAGTTCAAAGGAGGATGGGGGGGGTGGTTTTACGGGTTAGTTTAGGGAGGGAGGTTCCATGCGGTAGAGGTTACATGGGAGAAAGAAGAAAGGCGTTTGTGGGAGAAGTGAACAAATAGGCAATCAAAGACAGCATGGAGTCAGGATGCAAGGGCCAGGCTTGCTTATGGGAGGAGGAGACCTAGGAGCACAGTTAGGTCTTGTTAGCAGCAGCCCTGCTGGCAGCTTAGTGTGCATGTTCCCAGGGTTCTGAGCTATCAGCAGGCAGAGGTGCTAGCCTGGCAATTCCATGAAAATAGTAACTTTAATAAATTAAACTTACAAGCTTTCAAGCAACACAATCTCTTTACCATGCTACAGAAAACAGAACATGGATGAGTTGTACAATGGGCAACAAATGTTGAAATGTATGGTACACTTGCAGTGCCTAGTTACTGTGTCATTCCTCATTTTCACTATACAGAATGCCAGAAATACTACAGGTGAAGTAAATATTATGGTGTGGTACATAACAAGGTTTTAACTATGTTTATTATAGATATGTGAGCAGGTTGAAACCTTGTTATTAAATATAGGAACACAGTAGATCTAAGACCTACTTTCCAAAAAAGTTAGGTGCAGTTGAGAGACAGCTTTTTTAAAAAAATTAATTAGTTTAATTGGAAAGAGGTTCTATTAGACAGCTTCACCACCTATTTTAATTTTTCAAAGAAAGGCCATAAAATGACACCCTAAAAGGCTAATGCATTCTCCAAGAATAAACACCTCTAAAATTAAAAAATATATAGTTTTATAGATGTGTGATTTACCAATACCTCCATGAAATATTTTTGATAGACTTTATAGCAAAGAGAAGTTAATCAATCTGAAATGCTAGTTCAAAACGTCAGTGAAATTATAAATGGCAGGTAAATATTGGAATTGTATTTAACTCCTCACATAGTCCTTTCGAAAACAAGGCCAGTTATTAAAAGAATAGATTTAATTTTATATACTCTTCCAGTGTTGCAACTTGCAGCCTTACTAATCTGCATGCGGTACCTCTAGGGCTCAGTAACTCCATTTGAAGGTGTTTGCTTATGTCCATAGACCTGTATAAGTATTGTTCACCATGCAAGCAATTAACATATAATCTGAACTGTCAGTCTCTATGTCTTTTAGTGAGAAAGACAAGGTGGGTGAGGTAATATCTTTTATTGGACCAACTTCTCTTGGTAAAACAAGATACACTTTCAGCCTAACAGAGTGTTTCTTCAGATCTCGAAAGACAGGCAGTTACCAAATAAAAACTGTCTGTTCCTGTCTCTCGCTTGTAAAATTCAGGCATGCTGTAAGCTCAGTGTGTTTTCACTTTTTTTACAAAGGAATGTTTGAATTAATTTAAAATTATTTCTTGTCATTTTAAACATTATTTGATTAGATTCAAAGTGATACTTTTTTCAGTTCTACCTTTGGATTCCATTGTTTTGTTCACTTTATTTAAACTATGCTGCAACAAGTGTGTGATACCATTTTTTTTCCCTCACAGCAAATGAAACTTGCAGCTGAGTCATTGAAGGAGGAAACACATGGAGAAAAGAAGATGAACTGAGCATTAGCATGTGAACATGCTTTTAAAGTATTTACTGTATTTGCACTCTACAATGTATTACTCAATAGATAGTATCTATTATCTGTACTTGGTCATCAAGACTGATTGCTTGACACAATGAAAAATGGTTTCCCTTTTCCTTTTCCTCTTCATTTCTTATCGAGTATTCAACAGTTGTCCAGTGAGACAGAATATAGAGCATCACTCCAGTTTATGCTAGGTCTGGTTGAAATATGTCATAACCAACTGTACATTATATCAAAATTATATTAAACAGATCTTTAAGAGTAGGTATCCTGATGCTAAATGTAGTCGGGATCTGCAGCTTGTCAAGAGAAGGTGTATTAGAACTTAATTTTTAGTGTACCATTCCTTATGCTTGTTAACCATTTTTGTCCTTGTAGTAGAATAGTTAATCATTTCCAAAGGCATGTCTTTTTTCAAAGACAGCTTATTATACACTGTTCACAGCATTTACTAGGAAATTAATCTACATTTTGTTTATTATATAGTGTGATGTCTGATTTTTTTCCATAGAACCAATCACAAAACTAGTTATTTGGAAATGTATACTATAAAATGAGATTACAATATGTTCATTTTATAAAGAATCTCAATTAAATTATTTTCAGAAGCTGTTAAGAAAGCATTTGGCATGAAACAGGGATTGTTGATTAGTAGTTTATGAAGATGAATGGTGATTGTGTATTCTTTTAATTCAGCATTAACTCTGATTACCATTTGGTGGTTCTTCAGAACAATAGTCCTGTATTAATGGATCTTTTTTGTTAACTGAAATGATAGTAACAGAGCTATTAAAATGAACACTACATGGTTGTATGTCTGATACTTTCACACATGTACTGAGATATTTGACTCTTTCTTGCATATCATGAAAATGTAATACTCCTATTTTTAAATTGTTTTCTGATGGTAATAAGCTCAAAATCTATATTTCTAGGTCATGTGGCCTCAAGTCAATTTGTTTTCTGTTGATATTCAACTTTCATCTCTGTCAGAGTGAACTTCCCTGGATGTGAAATACTTTTGTGTTAGCCATGCAATCCTATTTGGATAGATCTGATGAAGATAATTGCACTGACTTGGATATATTTCAAAATTCTACCACAAGAGAACCTGTCACCTGAATACTTCATTACACAGCAAACTTTTACATTTGTAAGTAAGAGATACTTGTGACAAAGGGTACTCATCACAGAATAACACAGTTAAGCTAACATATAGTCTTCTGTATGGAGTTTAAAGTTTTGATTTTTGGATCTGTAAAGTGCTAAATGACCTGAGACAACTCTTCTCTCCCTCTGTTTTCCTGCCACAGCTGTGATCAGTGGAAGCTGGCATATAAGAGAGAGAACTGCTGGCAGGGTGTTCTCTATGAAGACCCTTCAGCTATGGAATTCATTCCCCACTTTGGTCTAAAATAGCCCAGATCTATTAAGGTTTTTGGTATGTGCAAAGCCACACTCTTTGAACGAACATTTGGGGGAGAGTTGAAGATCTAAGGGATAGATCTCTTTTGTGAATGTTAATATTGCGTAATTTTGTTTTGGAATATGTTCCTGTGAGTGGTGGTTTGTTGGCAATTTGTTGTTGACTTGAGGGATATGATAGAGGTATATAAAATTATGAGTGGTGTGGAGAAAGTGAATAACCCTTTCACATAACACAAGAACCTGGGGTCACCCTATGAAATTAATAGCAGGTTTAAAACCAACAAAGGAAACAACACAGTCAACCTGTGGAACTCATTCCCAGGGTAAGTTGTGAAGGCCAAAAGTAAAGTGGATTCACAAAAGAATTACATGTGTTCAATGAGGATAGATCTATCAGTGGCTACTACTCAAGATGGTCAGAGGTGCAATCATATTCTCTGCATGTCCCAAAGCTTCTGGCTGCCAGATGCTGGGCCTGGATGATGGGATGGATCACTTGATAATTCCTCCATTCTTTTCATTCCCTTTGAAGCATCTGGCATTGACCATTGTCGGAAAACAGGATACTGGGTTAGATGAATCATTGGTCTGACCAAGTATGGCCGTTCTTGTGTTCTTATTTATATTACCTTCATTGCATAGGGATTGCATTTTTCATTGATGACAAGGGTGCCTAAAGTGTGGCATAGGCATTTTTATGGTAGTTAAATGCATGCAGAGCGGAAAGAGATATAGTAAATACCATCAGAAACACATACTCTCCAGCCTGTGTTACCAAGAAACTAACCAAATGGAGACTAAGTTCCTGCATTGCTATTAGAGAAAGGGAGAAGAGGAACAGGGAATCTATGAGTATGAGGATCTGACATGAAACATTAATGTACTTTTTTCATATAGCTTTTAAGTAGGAATTGGGTGAAGTACTGAGTGTCTTGGGAAATTATTGCAACAATAAAATTAGTGCCTTGATCAGAGGCTGGTGTACTCCATAGCACAGTGGAACCAAATTCTGTAGCAAGAACCCTTAAATTCCATTACAGCGTTAACTGCTTCTTCAAGTAGATGCAGACACGTATTCTACTTAGGTGTGTGCATGCCCAGCATGCTGGAGCTGGAGACTTTTGCCTAGCAGTATCCATAGAGGGGCGACACTCGCGCCTAATGGTTTTGGCCACTCCCCTGGCCCCGGCCCCCCCTCCGTTCCTTTTCACCACCCATGGCTGGAGTCGGAGCTCTATGTGGTTATAGTCTCACAACCCTTGCATTTAGTCTCAGCCTAGTTCATTGTATATAATTAGTTAGTGTGTGTTAGTAGTCAGTAGATAGTGTTAGCTGCTAGATAGTGTTCCTGAGTGATGCCTTCACTGGGGTTTAAACATTGTCTGTCGTGTGAAGGAGCGATACTGAAGAGTGCTTGCTCTCTCTTGGTGAGGCCCACCTCAAAGAGCGTTGTTCAATCTGCAAATCATTCAGGAAGCAGACTCAGGTGATGTGGAACTTTCAACTCAAGCAGCACCTGCTTGAACAGGCCACATGGCCTGATCTGGTAATGAGGCTCTACTTGGGCCGAAGATCGCCCTTGGGCTCAGAGAGCTCTGCCACTTTTTGTTCCGGCGCAGGCACCTCTCTAAAGAGGCGAAGGACCCGTTCTCTGTCCTCGGGACCGAGGAAAAGGTCTCATAAGTCCAATCAGGAAGACTCCAGGACATAGGACGACTCCTCTTCCTCCCCCAGGAAAAGGGTGGGCCGGACTAGGACTGGTTCTGGAACATGGGATGGCACGTGCTCCCCTCTCTGTGGTGGGGAAGGAGACAGTACCGGAATCAGTATGAGGGACCTCGGCACCAAGACCTTCTTTGGCCCTGCTGTATTCAATGCTGCAGATGCTCCCATGGCAGCTTTCACCGCCCTCAATGTTGATGCACTTGGGTGCTCCAGTACCACTGTTTACACCGGGACCATCACTGCCTGCAGCACTGACATGCTTGATACTGATGGTACCAGCTTCATCGGGGCAATGGATGAATTGGGCCACGTATTGGCTCCCTAGGGCATCGCTCCGCCCATGTCTCTGAGATCCTGGGGCTTTTCTGAGTCAGGGTTGTCATCTTCCCACTCCATATCACCTGGTGAGCTCTGAGGGCCGCCAATGGACCAGTATGGCTCCCAGGGTTGGCATGCACCTCATGGCTGGGATGGAGGTCTTTGCCCTGGCCCCTACTGGCCACCAATCTGCTACAAGTATCTGTGGCCTCCTTGGACTCAGTAGGACGCTCCATGCTTGTGGAGATCCCACTCCTCATCTCATTCAAAGCTGGAGTCACCCACCAGGTTGACAATGGTTACTGTGGGTCAGCTGCAAGCCCAGGCATAGGTGGTCTTCCTCCCTGCAGAGCCGCTGGTGTCCTCCCTTCCGGGTTCTTCGTCCAGAGAGCAAGAGCCAGTTGTGGCTCAAACGAGAGCCTCACCCTCATCACCAGATAATGCCATGCTGCCTGGTTTGTCCTCTGCATCTATTCCAGAGGACTTTAAGGCATACCAGGACATTTTACACCATGTAGCCACATTTCTCTACATCCAGGAGAACACAAACTGGTAGACATTCTACAGTCCGCCATCCCTGGGAGAGTGGCCCTCCCAATTAATGATGTGTTCCTTGAGCTGGTGAGAGCCCCGTTAAGTACACCGGCCTCGGTACCACTGGTGACTAAGCGCATGGAAAAGTGGTACTTCATTCACATGAGGGATTTGAAGAGTTTATTCACATCCAGCCCCAAATTCCCTGTTGTAACGGTGGTGAATGACAGGCCCGGTAGGGTAGGTTGAAGTCTCTGTCCAAGGACAGAGACTTCAAGTGGTTGGATGTTCTGGGCAGAAAGAGCTATATCTCATCATCCCTACAGATAAGGATTGCGAATCAACAAGCTTTGCTGTCCAAGTATGATTTTCTGAATTGGTCAGCCATGTCTAAATTCGTGGACCAGTTGTCTGAGGCCTTGCATGAGGAGTTTTGGACATTTGTTGCAGAAGGCTGCTTGGAGGCCAAAACATCCCTGCAGTCCACCCTTGGCGTTGCGCATATCATGGCAAGGGTGATGGCCTCAGTGTTAATTATGAGGAGGGGTTCTTGGTCGCAAAACACTCGGATAGGTTTGGATATCCAGCAAGCCACTGAGGACTTGTCCTTTGATGGACGGATGTTGTTCTTGGACAAGACAGATGACATTTTGCCCTACTTTAAGGCTTCCAGAGCTACTTTAAGATCCTTGGGTGTGTACATGCCTCCACAGGAAGACACCACTATGGGGCTCAGCAGCAGCAATATCGCCCACAGCATTCCTTGCGCAGCCTTCTCCCCCACCACCCCCACTCCCCAAAAGTAGTGGGACTACCCTAGAAAAAGGGATAGATCCCACAAGAGGAAGCAGTTGGGCTCAGGCTTTGGGTACCCTCCCCCGGCACCTGCTAAGCACCCATTTTGACTCCTTAGTTCAAAGCAGTGGTCCAGTCATTTCTCCACCATCTTTGTTCCCCTGTCCTTTTGGGGACAAGCTGCCCCATTTTTACAATGCTTGGGAATTAATTACCTCTGATAGCTGCGTCCTAGACATTGTCAGATCGGCCACACAATCCAGTTCCTTTCCATGCCTGCTCCCCACCTCTCCTCCCTGTCCCTTTTCAGGGACCGCTCTCACAAGATGCTGCTTATTGAGCAGATCAGGTCTCTGCTGACATGGGTAATGGATATCAGGAACGGCTGCAGCCACAGCTTCTACTCCCAGTACTTCCTGATACCAAAAATCAAGGGCGGGATAAGATCCATCCTCAACCTTTGTGGCATCAACGAGTTCATCAAATACACGAGGTTCTGCATGATCCACTTTTATCGGTTGTCCTCCCCATGCTGTCTCATAACGACTGGTTTGCTGCTCTGGACCTCCAGGCAATTCTACTAAGCCACAAGAAGTTACTTTGTTTTGTGGTAAAAGAACATCACTCAGTATATGCTTCTCCCATTCGGCCTCTCTTCTGCCCACCGAGTCTTCACCTAATGCCTGGCTGTGGTCCTGGCATATCTCAGGAGGAAAGGAATTCACAACTTCCTTGATGATTGGTTACTCGGGGGTGGCTCCACAAAGGAGGTTCTTGCCGACATCAACATCATGTTGTGTTTGCTTGACCATCCCAAAGTTTTTATCCAAAATGGTCTCTCAGTTTCATCTGACTCAGGCAATGTATTTACCTGTGTTTTCCCCTAAACCACACTCTTCCTCGGAAGAACAGTGCCTCCATCTAGCCAGGACTAAACCATTTTGTGCTTCACTTCGCTTGCTCGTGTCATTTGTGGACTGCATGAAGGGGCAAGTGATCTCTGCACAG